ATCACGCTAATCATGCCTTTATACCCTTTGCAAGATATATTGTGTCCTCTCGATGGGGCGTGTACATCGGACTCCATGTTTAGCTCACGTGGTTTTATGTTGGTTAATAGTAGCTCCCACAATCAGACTCTTAGTGCATTTGACCAGGTTTTCAGTATATACTTCAGCATTCAGTTTAGCATGCTATTTTCATGATTAGTACTTGGTCATTACATTTAACTTAGCTTTTCAGTTATGTTTCAGTATTTACATTCTTGCTCAGTTATGTTTTTTTTCCAGCTTATATATATTTATTTAGCTTAGTATCTATATCATGCATGCTCAGTACATTCCAAGTATTAACGCATACTCTGCACTACATCCTTTCATGATGTAGGTTCAGGTACTCAGAATCCAGATCGAGCTTAGATCGATTCTCGGTTCGCATTTCAGTAGCTTTAGTGGTGAGTCCTTATATTCCGAGGACAATAGATATGCTTTCATTATAGTCTTTATTTTCAATTTTTTCAGTTTTGTTAGAGTTAGTTGGGGGTCATGTTCCAGCTACTTAACTCAGCTAGAGGCTTTTCAGACATAATAGTATTATCAACTTGACTTGTTATGTTTTCTCTTTCAGTTGTTATTAAACTTTTAGTATGGTTTATACATTCAGACTAGTTGGGTATTCCCCACTTTTCAGATAACTTTTTTTTAGCTTCAGCATAGTTCATGTCTTACTTAGTTATTTCGAGTATACTTATGATATGCTAGACACATGATTAGCTTGGGGTCACTCGTGATTCTAAATCCCGTGTTACGCCAAGGGGGTAGCCTCGGGGTGTGACAGTAAAAAACCAAAAGTTGAAGCTATAATGATGCAAAAAAGGAACATCAACAACAAACCCAAATAAAAAAAAGAAGAAGAAAATATGAAGTCACAAATGATAAAACTGATAATTGCATAATTAAGACACTCGGACCAAATTTCATCATAGTTACGAAAGATTAACATTTACAACTACAGGGGAAAAATCAATCATCATGGTTTTTGGAAAAAAAAAAAACAAAAAAAAAAAATCTGAAGCTAAAAGACAAGATTTTTGGTGAGCACTGAGCAAAGAGCGGTGAAAAAGTTGGAACCAGAAGCTAGATGATGTGTTCATTCAAGAATATGTATAAGCTCTCGCCTTAGTTTTATATATTATGTCTGATATGTTAAGCCAAAGATTAACCTGGAATTACTCGTGATTGTAGGTACCATGTCTCAGTCGGAGTGTAGACTCAGATAGTAAAAGATATATATATATATATATATATTATTATTATATTGAGATATTACTGAAAAAATCTCAACAAAATATTAATGTGGTTAGTATTTATATTTTATGAACTTGGTATGATAAAGTACTAGTGCTGTAGTATAAGGAACGGAGTATGTAGCTTAATATTATTATGTATAGCCGCCATAATTCACATTAGCGATTTGTCATATTATGATATGTATGATGAATATTAATGTAGAACATATTTGTTTTATGCGTAACTAATGAATGTATCATTAAATATTGAGGAAATTATACAATTAAGCAAATAAATACTAGTTAATTATTTAATATAACTATAGTTTGAAGAAATTACTTTTCGTCGCTAATATATATAACCATATTCACATGGGCCACATCCAAATTTTGTATAATTTGACTCCTAATTGTATAAATTCAGAATTTGTATAATTTAGTTCATAATTGTACAAATCTAAAATTTGTATATGCTTACCCTAACTTGTATATGATATCATGTTGATACATTTGTTTATACATTTGATTTTGTATAAGTTTTGAAAAAATTCTAAACATATTAATACATAATTTGTATATACTTACCTTTTTTGTGTATTGACAAGCAAATTATACTAACTGACTTACTCTATTTGTATATTGACAAGTGAATTATACAAACAGAAATACCCATAGGAAATGAAACTATAGTTATGGAGCAAAATTAGGTAAATTGTAGCTAATGAGGCTTATTAATTTTAATCTCTTTGTTATTTATGATATTTTCTCTTAAATATTAGCGTTATGTGGTTATTGGGCCAAGTGGAAAAATGTTAGACTTCTTATTATTTTATGTGTGGCCCAATTAATGTAAAGTACATCATTAATAACTACTGAAGACTCAATCTATCATTAGATGGCTTGGTTGATGGACGTGCCAGATTAAATCTAAACCTCTATAAATTTATCTTTTTCACCCATTAGGGTTAACATATTTTCTTCGCACATTTCCATTGCTGCCGTTGGTGGTAACATAAAGTTAGAGGAAGGAGTTAGAAACATTTTTTGAATCAACATTTTTGCTTTGTGATAATGTCTTCAGGTATATTCCCTTAACATCATCCTTTAAGATTTTTATACTCAAGATCTAAGAATTCCATAAGTGAAGTTTATAATAGATTTCAAATATTTTTTGATTTATTTAGATTTATAAAGTGGAAGTTGAAGATAAACTTATGTTTGATTGTACTTTTTGCAAAGGAGAGAAGATGACACGTTATTTGATTTATGAAGATGAAAATAAAAAAACACGTTAAGAACACTTTTTC